ATTCATAAATGAAGAACTAGTGAGGGAAAAGAAAGAGGATGTGATTTATAGAAATCTCATCTGAACCCCCTTTGCAGAAATGCAGCCACCGTTCTGAGCAGGGAGTGAAGGAAAGAACTCCCTTTTAGTCCCGGTCATCTTCCATTCTGGTTGTTACCACTAAGACTATATATATTTTTTAATTATTTTAGACCTTGGCACTCTCTGATGTCTGAAAAACTAGATAGTGGGAGAAATGTGGGGAGAAAGCATGCTGGAAAGTAGCTTAAGAAGGCTTTAGAGGGACATACTGCCAGGGGAGGATATGTTCCAGGAGTTTCTTTCAACGTCTCCAAGAAGCCAATTTTCAAAGATTCTGTGAAATTGGGAGGAGTAGAGAGAAAAATTAGTGACTTCAGTCAAAGCTACACACTATCCTAGTGCCTACTCACTTCCTTCCCTCCCTTTCCCATGTTACACACTGGCAAGAGCTAAGCTCTCACTCGGGCAAGGGTGAAGAGCTTCATCTCCTAGCTGGTAGTCTCATGACTAAAGAGTTCACATTTTCAGTGCAGGACCAGGCCCTGGACTAGAGAGGTGGGTAGAAGCCAAGCAGTAGGATCCCTTCCCTTTTCCCTAGCCCCCAACTATGGACATGTGAGGGGGATATTAACAGATAAAAGAAATCAGAAATACCCAAGAAAAATCCTCTCTCCTTGCCAATACGTGTCCTTCCCTTGCTCAAAATCCAGCTCAGAACTCTTCTCTTTCCAGGAAGCTGTCTTAAGACCACTCCCTTAACTCCACATCACATCTGCCCTTAGACTGGTGTGTGTGTGTGTGTGTGTGTGGGTGTGTGTATGTTTGTGCACATATACACATGTGGGTGTGCTTTCTATCTCCCAAAATAGACCGTGAGCTACCAAAAGACATTTCTCAGGCAAAACCCTTTTCTACCCCTTAGCACAAGGCAAGTTTTACAAGGCAGAAGAAGAGAGGATTTTCTGAGACAAAATACATCCCCAACCTTTGGGATTACCTCAGAAATGCCCCAGTACTCTGGATACAGACCAGTAATTATGGCCCCAGGCCCTAGCAGTTGGTCAGAGAAAAGGCCAACACACTGAGTAATACTCATTGATGTGCACTAAGGTTTGCAACCCTGCTCAAGAGCAGATAACAGTGCTCATTTCTAACCTGTCCTAAGGTACCTTTCACAATGGTACCACCAGGAAACCCAACCACCCTCTAAGCCGCCCTTAACTCTTCCCCCACCCCGCCCCACTCCAACAACAGACACTGCCCTGCATACTCACTGAGGGCCACATAGACGATGTTGAAGGCGAAGACATAGATTGTGAGGAGGGAGAGAGAAAGGATGAAGAGGTAGAAGTAGCGGTAGTTCCTCTTTCCAACACAATTACCCACCCAGGGGCAGTGATGGTCGAAGCGCTCTGTGGAAGAAAGAGAGAGTCCAATGCCAAAAGACTCCAGAACAAAAATCAACCCCGCCATCCGCATAATATCTAATTCAAAGACCTCCAGGATCATTGTCTATTTCAGTTGTAAAAAATACAGGGTTTTATTTTTTTACTTTTTCAAAATGTTTTCATAACCATCTCATTTGATCCTCACAATTTCCCTGGAACTTGAGCAAAAGGAGATACTCTTTTCCCCACTTTACAGATGAAGAAACAAAGGCATGGAGAGGTTAAGTGATCTGCCTCACTTTGCTCATTAAAAGCAGAGACACTGCTTGTCCAAATAAAATATTAATCGGTGGGCCTGCTAAGTTCAAGAAGAATAAATAGGTGAAAATAGCCAAGGAAAAATGTAAAACTACAATATTTAAAATGGTATGGCATAGCTCAATGGAATGGAAAGAGCCCAGAAACAGATCTTAGAACAGATAAGATTTTGTTGTCTAATAAACTCAGCATCACAAAATCAGGTGAAAGGAAGTATTATTCCATAAACAATTATGTAACAATTGGCTATTTGGTGCAAAATATGGATCAATTTCTTTTTTGTCTTCATACTACTTGTCATAGTAAATTCCAGATGAATTAAAGAGCTAAATGTAAAAACAAAGCAAATCCATAAAATAACTACAAAGATTAAATATTTATTTGTCCGCTATATGCAGAAGGACTTTCTAAGCATAAAAGTACTGGAAGAAAACAGATGACAAGGAAAAATAGATTTGACTCCATAAACTTTAAAAAAAATTTTGTGGTTTTGATTTGCATTTCCTTGGCGATCAATTATGTGATTATTACACATTGCATGCCTGTATCAAAACTTCTCATGTACACCATAAATATATATACCTACTAAATACCAACCAAAAATTAAAAATTTAAAAAATACTTTGTGTGTCTTAAAATTACCATAAAGAAAATTAAAGAGAAAAAAACCAATGGCAATCTACGTAAAGTTGTACCTGGCTATGTGAAAAGTTCTTAGAAATCAATAGGAAAATACAAATACTTCGTCAAGAAAATAATAGTCAAAAGTTACTTGAAATTTGCTAAGAGAGTAATCTTAAGTGTCCACACCACACACGCACATACACACACAATGGCAATTGTGTGGTGATGAATATGTTCATTTGATTGTGGTAAGCATTACAGGCAGATACCAAAATCCACCCATACTCAAGTCACTCAGCAGCCCTGCAGAACCCACAGATAAGAAAATTGCCCCTCGTGTACACAGGTTTTGCATCTTGTGAATACTGTACATTTGAACCTTGAACAACTCAGGTTTGAACTTTGTGCGTCCACTTGTACGTGGATTTGTTTCAATAAATACAGTTGGTCCTCCGTATCAACAGGTTCTGCATCCACAACTAAAACCAGATCAAAAATACAGTATTCACAAAATATGAAACCCCCAGATACGGATACAGGGGGCTGACTTTTCATATCCATGGGTTCCACAGGGCCACTGCAGGACTTGAGAATGCATGGGGTTTGGTATTCAAGGGCAATCCCTGAAACCAATACCCCAAGGATACTTAGGGACGACTGTATTTTGGATCCGCGTTTGGTTGCAGATGAGGAACCCACTGATACTGTATTTATTGAAAAAAAAAACCCTCATTATTAAGTGGGCCCATGCAGTTCAAAACTGCATTGTTCAAGGGTCAACTGTACATAAAACAAAAACAAAAAACAAACAAAAAGGAAATAGGGCAAAAACTAATAAATACCATAAAACCTATATTTAACATTTTTCCTATTCACCAATAATTCAGTGTAATACTAGTAAAACAGTAACATATTTTATGCCTATCAAAATAAGAACATAAATAATAAAATTCAGTGCTAGTGAGAATAAGGTAAAATGGACACTCTAACATACTGCTTGTGGGAGCATAAAATGAAAGAACCTTTCCAGAAAGCAATTTGGCAGTACGTATCAAGACCTTCATAAAGCTTGTACCCTTTTGGCAGAATAAATCCATTTTCAGTAATTTCTCTTAAGTAAATAGAAATGCACACAGAAATTTTAAGTTCAATTTTTATTTTTATTTACTTATTTTTGAGACAGAGTTTCACTCTTGTCATCCAGGCTGGGAGTGCAATGGTGTGATCTCAGCTCACTGCAACCTCCGCCTCCCAGGTTCAAGCCTCACTAGCCTCCCGAGTAGCTGGGATTACAGGTGCCCGCCACCACGCCCTGCTAATTTTTGTATTTTTAGTAGAGACGGGGTTTCGCCATGTTAGCCAGGCTGATCTCAAACTCCTGACCTCAGGTGATCTGCCCGCCTCAGCCTCCCAAAGTGTTGGGATTACAGGCGTGAGCCACCGTACCCAGCTGAAGTTCAAATTTTGTATTGTTTGGGAGGCCCAGGCAGGGGAATCACGAGGTCAAGAGTTTGAAACCAGCCTGGCCAACATGGTGAAACTCCATCTCTACCGAAAAATGCAAAAATTCGCAAGTCGTGGTGGTGCACGCCTGTAATCCCAGCTAATCAGGAGGCTGAGGTGGGGGAATCGCTTGAGCTCGGGAGGCAGAGGTTGCAGTGAGCTGAAATCACGCCACTGCACTCCAGCCTGGGTGACAGAGTGAGACCTTGTTTAAAAAAAAAAAAAATCTATTATGGTAAAATATGCATAACATACAATTTGCCATTTTAACCATTTTAAGTGTACAATTCAGTGGTATTAATTACATTCATAATGTTGTGGAACCATCACTATTATCTATTTCCAAAACCCTTTCATTACTCCAAAGAGAAACTCTGCACCCATTAAGCAGTAACTCTCCATTTCCCCCTTCCCCTATCCCCTAGCAATCTCTAACATTCTGTCTCTATGAATTTGCCTATTCTAGATATCTCATATAAGTGGAACCATACAATATTTGTCCTTTTGTCTGTTTTTTTTTCCACGTAGCATGTTTTCAAGGTTCATCCACATTGTATCAGTACTGTATTCCTTTTTATGACCAGATAATATTTCATTGTATGTATATACCACATTTTGTTTAGCCATTCATCTGTTGATAGACACTTGGGTTGGTTCCACCTTTTGGCTACTGTGAATAATGATGCTATGAACACTGGCATACAAGTAGGTTTTGAGTCCTTGTTGTCAAGTCTTTTGGCAATTGTTATGGAATGAACTGTTCCCCCATTCCCCAGTTCCATATGTTGAAGCCCTAACCCCCAATGTGGCTGCACTTGGAGGCAGAACCTTCAAGGAGGTAACTAAAGTTAAATGCGGTCATCCAGGTGGGGCCCTAATCCAATGGGACTGGGGTCCTTGTAAGGAGAGGATGAGACACCAGTAGTGTGTGAGCACAGAGAAAAGGTCACATGAGGACACAGCAAGAAGGCAGCCATCTGCAAGCCAGGGGGAGAGGCCTCACCAGAAACCATCCCTTCTCGCACCTCTATCTTCGACTTCCAGCCTCCAGAATTGTGAGAGAATAATTCCCATTGTTTGAGCCAGCCAGTCTGACGTATTTTGTTATGGTAACCCAAGCAGACTAATATAGGTGTACACCCAGGAGTGGAATTGCTGGGTCATGTGGTAATTCTATGTTTAACTTTTTGAGGAACCACCAACTTTTCCACAGCAGCTGCATGATTTTACATTCTCACCAGAAATGTATGAAGGTTCCAATTGTTCCATATCCTTATGTTTAATAATTACGATTGCAGTGTTATAACAATGAATAAAGTAGAAGAATGAATAATGTCTAATGACAGAAGACTGCCTAAATAAACTTGAATAGAACCATATGATGGATTATGCAGTCATTAAAATAATATATTAAAGAAACATTTATTAAAGATGCAGAAAAATAGGATAGAATGTTAAATGACAAAAGCAGGATTAAAAACTATCATGTTACAGTCCAATTTTGCAGAAACACTAGAAGGAAATATAGCAAAATGGAGAGTGAATTTAGGATTAAGTTTTATTTATACTTTCTGTACTTCCCATATTTTCCACAATGAACATGTGTTATTTTGATGAATAAAAGGTTACAAAAGAATAAAATACACCAATTTGGGCCAGTGCGGTGGCTCACACCTGTAATCCCAGCACTTTGGGAGGCCGAGGAGGGCAGATCACGAGGTCAGGAGATCGAGACCATCCTGGCTAACACAGTGAAACTCCATCTCTACTAAAAATACAAAAAATTAGCCAGGCGTGGTGGTGGGCGCCTGTAGTCCCAGCTACTTGGGAGGCTGCGGCAGGAGAATGGCGTGAACCCAGGAGACAGAGCTTGCAGTGAGCTGAGATTGCACCACTGCACTCCAGACTGGGAGAGAGAGCGAGACTCCATCACAAAAAAAAAAAAAAAGAAAAAAGAAAAGAAAAAAAAAGAATAAAATACATCAATTTGAAAGAAAAGTGAGCTGTGTACCGGTCAAAAAATAAGGCTGTAAAAATGGTCTATCTCCTGCTGAGGAGGCTACATCTTTTCAGGTAAGGGAAGAAAGGTATAGAGAAGAATGGTTATACAGATACATATTTTTTACAGTATTTTAAATCACGTCTTTTCTGATAATACAAGTAATACATGCTCATTATAGAAAACTTGAAAAAAAATAAAAAGAAACATGAAGAAATCACAGCAGTGGAGGACAGCATATGAAAAAATGAAAGAAACAAAATCACTCATAATCCCACAACCTATAGATAATAAATTATAAAAATTGTGGCATATTTCCTGTATTTCCTTGCATATTTCTTTATACCTCATTATATACTTTTTTAAATAGGTAACTGACTTCACACGGTAAATGTAGCCTCTCTCCTGTTTTGTGTCATTTAGCTTTCTGGTATGAACTCTTTCCATTAGTCTAATGTATGAATGTCCATTTACTTATTTATTTATTTATTTATTTAGGGACAGAGTTTAGCTCTGTCACCCAGGCTGGAGTGCAGTGCCACGATCTCGGTTCACTGTAGCCTCCACCTCATGGGTTTTTGATTCTCGTGCCTCAGCCAGGATCTCAGCTGGGATTACAGGCACATGTCAACATGTCCAGCTAATTTTTGTATGTTTTAGTAGAGACGAGGTTTCACCATGTTGGTCAGGCTGGTCTCAAACTTCTGGCCTCAAGTGATTTGCCCACCTCGGCCTCCAAAAGTGCTGGGATTACAGGAGTGAGCCACCACGTCCAGCTCTATAATTTATTTGGCTACTCGTCTGTTGGTACACAATTAGGTTCTTTTCAACTTTTAATTGTCATAATAATCCTGAGTTAAACATTTCTACCCCTAAATATCTTCCCACATCTCTGATTTCATGGGACAGACTCCCTAGAAAGGGAACCACTGGCATCAAAAAGTATAGATGTTTTTAAGGTTTTTGATTACTCTTATTAGGTTACCTTCCAAAAAGTTTGTTCCAATTTACACTTACTAGTGGAAGAACAAATATCAGGTTTTCCTTGCTAATTTTCTAGATTTAAAAAAAGCATATTGGGCTGGGAGTATTGGCTCACACCTATAATAACAACACTTTGGGAGACTGCGGCGGGTGGACTGCTTGAGCTCAGGAGTTTGAGACCAGCCTGGGCAACATGGGGAAAACCCATCTCTACAAAAAATGCAAAAAAAAAGAAAAAATAGCCAGGCATGGTGGTGCATGCCTGTAGTCTCAGCAACTTGGGAGGCTGAGGTGGGAGGATCACCTGAGCCCAGGAAGTTGAGTCTGCAGTGAGGTGTGATTATGCTACTGCCCTCCAGCCTGGAAAAAAGAATGATAGCCTATCTCCAAAAAAAAAGCATCCTGAAATCATTTCTTTGACTATTAGTCATGATAACTAGCCAATTATATTTTTATGAACTGTCTATATTTCTCCCGGAACATTAGTGCTTTTAAAAAAATTGATTTGTATGAGTTCCTTATAGTTAAGAATATTAATAAGGAAAGGAAATACTACCTCACATCAGCCCTTCTTTTTTTTATTAATTTTAAGTTCTGGGGTACATGTGCAGGATGTGCAGGTTTGTTACATAGGTAAATGTGTGCCATGGTGGTTTGCGGCACATATCAAGCCATCACCTAGGTACTAAGTCCAACATGCATTAGCTATTTTTCCTAATGCTCTCCCTCCCCTCCCCATCCCCCAGTAGGCCCCGGTGTTTGTTGTTCCCCTCCCTGTGTCCATGTGTTCTCATTGTTCTCAAAAGAAGACATTCATGCAGCCAACAAATATATGAAAAAATGCTCAACATCACTGATCATTAGAGAAATGCGAATCAAAACCACACTGAGATACCATCTCATGCCAGTCAGAACGGCGATTATTAAAAAGTCAAAAAACAACAGATGCTGGCGAGGTTTCGGAGAAATAGGAACCCTATTGTTGTTGGGAATGTAAATTAGTTCAACCATTGTGGAAGATGTGGCAACTCCTCAAAGATCTAGAACCAGAAATACCATTTGACCCAGCAATCTCATTACTGGGTATAGACCTTCCTTAAATATCAAGTTTCCTGCTTCATTTAAAATGGATTTCGAGGGCCGGGCACGGTGGCTCATGCCTGTAATCTCAGCACTTTGGGAGGCCTAGGTGGGTAGATCACAAGGTCAGGAGTTTGAGACCAGCCTGACCAACATGATGAACTTCCATCTCTACTAAAAATACAAAAATTAGCCAGGCGTGGTGGTGCACGCTTGTAATACCAGCTACTTAGGAGGCTGAGGCAGGAGAATCACTTGAACCCGGGAGGTGGAGGTTGCAGTGAGTGGAGACCACACCACTGCACTCCAGCCTGGGCAACAGAGTGACACTCCATCTCAAAAATAAAATAAAGGCCAGGCGCGGTGGCTCAAGCCTGTAATCCCAGCACTTTGGGAGGCCGAGACGGGCGGATCACGAGGTCAGGAGATCGAGACCATCCTGGCTAACA